GCGGCGGCGGGGGTTGGGGCGATTGAGGATATCACTTGAGAGCACGCCCAAGTTGTTACTGCAGCAAGGGCAAAAGTGTTCAGAGAATAATCTCGCTTTCAAGGGAGGCAACTCTCTGAGCCAAAAGCTTAGGCAGCCAGAGGGCAGAGCGGGTGCCGCCAGGCCCGAGATATGAAAAGCACATGCCTCTGCTCCTGCGGAGCAGCAAAACTGCACTGAGGCACGCGCTGAGAGAGGCAGCATGCCAACAGACAAAGTATGCTTAAACAGATTGCAAACCATTCCTGAGGTGGCAACCTTCACTCCTCAGGCCCTGATGTCGTGTTGCAGTACTCGGCCTTCATCTCCAAGAGCCACTTGTGCAAGGCACCAGCCAATGGATGTTGAGCGATGAGCTGCAGACACATTGATACACCGATCAGCTAGTCGCTGGATGCTTGGCTTCCCCCAGCGCTGATGACACTCACGTTGCTCCTGCTGCTGCCACTCCCACGCGCGCGGCTGCTGCTGCTGCGACCACCTTCAATGGCACTCCCCTGAACGGGCGCTGGTGCTGTTCCCAGCCGCTCAGAGCTCGGCGCAATCCTGCGTGGTGAGAGAAAGAAGAGTGGGTGGGGGGATGAAGTCGTCGGCGCCACAAAAAGGGTATGAGAGGGGCTGGACTAAAGGTCAGAGGGACAGCGACCTGCTGCACAACGCTGAACACTAACACCCACGACGTGAATTGCTCGGCACAGGCAACTTTTGACTGGGCAGTTGCAGCAATAGCTGCCTGGTCGTGCTCACTCGTCGTGCAGCGTTGCTTTGGCCTTGACGGACGCCTTGGGGGCGATGATCTCGGCATCGCCAGGAACAAACACAGCAGAGTCCGTGATGCGGCGCGCTTGGGAGGGCTGCCCCTGCCGCAGCCACCTGGCCTGGCGCCGCTTGTGCCACACGCAGCAGCTGCCACAGAGGAGCGCGATCAGGAAGGCGCCCCCCACAGACACTCCGACAGCGACGCCGATGGTGACGGCGGGGTCGAGGGCGGCTGCCTTGCCGGACGCCCTTCGGATGCCTGCGTACTTGCCGGAAATTGCGCCGCCGACACCCGCAGGCGCTCCGGCGCCCACTACCGCGCCGCCGCTCGGCGCCATGGCGGCCGCCGTGCCGGCGAGGACGAGCCTGCCCGCGACCGCGACGCTGGGCTTGGCGCTGCTGACCGGCACGCCCTGCGCCGCCATTGCTGCGAACAGCTGCGCGCCGCCGTCGGCCGCCGCCTCTACTACGACCTGCTGCGCGGCAGCTGTGGCCGCCGCCGACCCGGTCTCCACCGCAAACAGCGCCAGGGCCGACTGGGACGCCGCCTGCAGCAGGCCGCGCGCCTGGCCGGCTGCCTGCGCCTGCACCGGCGCCGGCGCCGAGGCCGGCACGACGACCCACATTACCCTGTTGCCCGCCACGCCGGTAATGTTGGCCAGAGCGCGCGCTGCTGGGTTGGCATATTCCGCACGAATGTCGTTTGCGCTGAGGCCCTCATACAGCATGGATACCTGCAGCGTGCCCGCCGCGCAGCCGCGCGAGCCGTACAGCCTCGCTGCCTCCAGGTACGCGACCTGCACCGGCGACGCGGCCTGGCCGAGCGACAGGGCGCCGCAGAGGGTGTGCCCGTCGCGGCAGGCCCTCAGGCGCGCGGAGGCGCACTTGTCCGAGGACATGTCCTGCATGGGCGTGCCCGTGGTTTTCGCGTGCGGGGAGGCGGCAGGCAGGTGGGTGTTGGAGTGCGCCGGCCGGCCGCTACTGCATGATGGCATTGTCACGCCCCTTGGTCCATTGAGATGTGCGCCCCTCCCTCTCCCCCCTCCCCCCGCACCTCGATGCAGCTGCAGACGTCACCAGCGGTCAGGCCTGCAGGAGTGAGGCAGCTGCTGGACAGGAACGACCCGGCCGCGGCGGCGGCCCCCGCATCTGTCCTGAGCTTCGACAGGTCGGTCATGGCCTTGCAAAACGGCAGCGTGTCTGCTGGGATAGCGCCTGTGCAGGTGCCCGCGACGGCCTTGGTGCAGGCCGTAGACGTGTATCCAAAAGCGCAGATGCAGACAGGGACGCCCTTGCTGGGTGGGGGGCTCCTCGCGTTTGCGGCCACCGGCACAGGCACGGCCGCTGTGCCTGCCGCGGCGGCAGGCGCGGCTTGCTTGGCGGGCGCCGTGGCAGGTGCTGGGGGCTTGGGAAGAGTGACAACAGGTGTAGCCGGTGGAGCGGCTGATGCTAGAGACGCCACCAGCAGAACAAGCGCCCAGCAGGCGGCCAGCCTTTGGGCGTTTCTGTGAGCTGACCCCATCGCAGCCGCTGCCTTGGGCAGCAATGCGTTGTACGATGGATGAATGGAGAGGGTTTTGACTTGTCAAGGGGCACACACGAATGAATGGATGCATATTGGGTGCTGTTAGGAGGATGCAATTGAATTTAGCACCTTACTTGCCCTTGACGATGGCACTGCAGCCTCCTCAAGCAGCAGCACGCACGACACAAGAACAGTAGAACACAGTTGCACAGGCCCGCTGCAGCGCGGCCGGCAATCCCTTTATCCTAGCGGAGAAACAGTGTAAAAATATCTGCAAGGCGTTTGTTTCCATCCACTAAGCCCGGTACCAACGGGGCGCGCTCTACTTGCCGCACCTTGGGTGGTTGTCGTGTAAAGTGCTGCAGCCGCTTGATGGATCGACCTTAGTGTGTGTAATAAGGGGTTTTAACGCCTGCAAATTCTAACATATAATGTCAAAGTCCGTGCAGCTAGTACCCGTGAGCGGGATGGCAGCGGGCTCCAGAGGCGGGATGGGCCACGAACGATTGTGCAGGGTCAGATGAATCAAGATGTTGGAAAGGCCAAAATTCAAGGCCATATCACTTTGACGGCTGAGCGCACCAACGTCATCGCGCCCAGGCACACCCGAGTGAGTGCAAAGCAAACCGGGCCCCCTAGGTCTGACGGTATGGGAGGCACCTCACCAGTCAGAAATCTTTGTGAACACAATTCAATCACCTGCAGCCAGCAGACACGGCGTTGAGCGGCGGAGTTCCAGCCAGCCCTTCAATGGGACGTGTTTCTCGCCATGTGAGGCGCAGCAGCGCTTGAAGCTTGCAAGAATCTTCAATTTTACCACCTATCAGACCGATTGCATCCGTTTACGGGTGTTGGTGCGGCCACAGTCCGCGTCGTCGCAGTGCGATTTGGCAGGCAACGACGGGTCGCAGGCCATGGTAGCGGTAAAATGCGCTCCAATGAGATTACCTGAGGACGCGACCTCTCCGTGCGGGGCGCGCGCCACTACGTCACCGGCATCGCGCGTGCTGCACCGGCGTTTCCGGCGAGGTTGGGTGTCACCCGTCATACTAGCGGTCTTGCTGGGCTTCGCTTGCGGTACGACCATTGCAGCAGCGCAGGCGAGCTCAAGGACAGCGCAGCGGCCAGGCAATCCACGCCAGCTCCTAGAGGTGGAGTGCAGCAAAGGCGGGCCTGGCGCCGTGCCGGCTTGGAGCAGCTGTGGCGGCCGCAACGGGCCCGGCCGGCAGGATGCCGCGGGCGCGAGGTGCCCCAGCGGACAGGCTTGCACGCGCTCTGACGAGTGAGCTGACATGCGCAGCCACGGCAAAGCGCCGGCGATGCGCTGCACTGGGAGGGGCCTCCTGAATGTGTCAGCGCTTGCGTTGCAAATGCACACGCGGCCAATTTCTCACGGTTGTCGGGAGTCGGGACGCTACGCCGGCAGCACGAACTGTGTCGCCCATCCTGGCCTCAAACGGCCACCTCACGCTGAAAGCGCGCAATCGTTTGCTCGCAATCCCACCATAAACGGCTTCACCTGCTGCAACCATCTGTCACAGGTGGTTTTGGCAGTGCCTTCCTTGCGCAGCAGTTGGAGTTGCCAAAGCGGGGCCGGCCGTGGCTGCCGTCTACTCAAAACAAAGCCAGCAGCAGCAGCAGCAGCAGCAGCAGCAGGTGGCGCCCGTCTTGCCTGTGGCGCCCAGCTCTTACAGGCTCGAGCAAGGCCGCGCCCCTCAGCAGCAGCCGGGGGAGGTCTCGGCATGGGGCAACTGCGGCGGGCTCAACGGCCCCGGCAAGCAAGACGCGGCCGGCTCGCAATGCGTGTCCGGCCAGGCGTGCGTGAGGTATGACCGCTACTTCTGGCAGTGCCAGCCCACAGCGACCCCCCAGGACCGCGCGCGGCTGGAAGACGAGGAGATGCAGCGCAGCGCGGCGCGGCAGGGGCAGCAGGCGCTGGAGAGCCTGTGGGAGGGGCCCCAGGCGGGCCGCGACACTGGCAAGCCCGGCAGCGACTACATACCCCTTTGGTCTGCGTGCGGCGGCCTCAATGGCCCCAACCAGAAGGATGAGGCGTCGCAGGTGCCTTGCGAATCGAGGGCGACTTGCAACCGCCTGGACCGGTGAGCGGCGGGGCACGGGAGGGGTCCTCGGCCGGGGACGGCCTGGCTGGCATGCTTGCATTTGGGACCCGCCCCAGCCCGCTCGGGCCTGGCACCGCGCCCGCCTTTTGCGCCGGAAATGAATGCCCCACGTTGTGCTGCCCCGCCGACGCTTGCTGTTTGACGAGTGGCGCGCCGCACGCGCCCCCGTCCTGGGTCACAGGTGGAGCTGGTACTGTCAACCCAAGCCGCGACGCCCGGGCGACCCCTCGCCGGGCCCCGACAAGCTGCCGCCGCCTGCGCCCTCGCGCCCGTCTACGCCTACGCCGGCGCCGGCGCCCCCTCTGTCGCCGCCGCCAGCACCCGCACCAGACGCGCCGGCGGCGCAGGGTGCGGTCACCAGCAACAGCAGCGGGCCAGAATACAGCTTCCTACCCGCCGCAGGCGCCGTGGGGCGCCCGCAGGAGCCGCAGCCGCAAAATGACACCGAGGCGCAGGCGCCAGCGACCGAGGCGCCGGCGGCGCCGGCGGCGCCGGCGGAGCCGGCGGTCGATTTGAAGCTGGGCTTTCCGGGTGAGGCGGGGCGCCTGCGCGAGGCGCTGCATCTTATAATTGTCGCACCATGATCGCGAGTGCCTTCAAGAAGTTTGTAGGTGGGGGGAGGCATCGCTCTGCCATGCCTGGCCCCCCACCTTCAGGTGCAATCAGCACTATGGTCTCACGGGTGCTGCATCATGCAACAACTCCACACGCCTATCGCAGCCATGCCACTGGAGAACTTCACCGCCCAGTACCAGTCCGGCGCCCTGGCCACCGTCGCGGCCGCCGCCGGCGTCCCCGCGTCAAACATCAGCGTGACGACGGTCTCCGCACCCGTGCCCGTCCCCACGCCGGCGCCCACCGCCGCCGGCCGCCGCCGCCGCCGCCGTGCGCTGCTTGCGGAGCAATTAGTAAGCAGTGCCGCAGCCCTGGGGCCTGCAGTGTCGAAGCTCGAGGCGGCCCCGCCTGCCACGGTAGAGCCCGCGGCCGAGCAGCCAGGGACTCTCGTGGAATACAAGATCTCTGCGGAGTACCCGGCCGCGGCAGAGGCTGGCATCAGGGCCGCCGCCGCCCGCGGCGGCGAGGGCTTCTACTCGGCCCTGGCGCGAAACGGCGTGCCGCTGCGGCCGAGCATCATCTTGAATGGGGAGCAGCTCGCCGCAGGCTCGACTGGTTCCCTGCCGCCCGTCGACGCCGCGGCGCCCGCCGCGGCGCGGGCGCCTCCCGCGGCCGTCCGGCAGGCGGCGGAGCAGGAGCCCTCCGGCGGCGCCGCGGCGCAGCGCAAGCTGTCGTCAGGGGCGTTGGCCGGCATCATCGCGGGGTCTATTGGCGGTGCGATTCTGCTGGCGGTGGTGGCCCTGGCAGTCACCAAGGCCGTCCGCCGGCGCGGCAAGCGGAGGCCGGTCTCGCCGGCAGACCTTGACCCTAATTCTGTCGGGCAGCTGCGCGCCAAGTACGCGCACGGCTCGCGGCACGCCAGCGACGACGCGGGCAGCGACGGCCCCCCCGGCGCCGGCAGGGGCACGCCGCCGCCGCCCGCCGCCGCGGTCCGCTCCGGTGGCTTGAAGCTGCCCGCCGCGGCTGGCGCGGCCGCCGTCGCCGCGTCCGCCGCGGCGGGCGCGGG